AAACTGCTGATGGGTTTGGTCACCCGAGTAAAAAGCCACGGGGCCGTAGAGATTCCAAATGGAAGGACTTTCCATTGGAAGTGATGGCCCTCGAAAGTGAACCTCAGATACTTCCGATGATCTGGGTGAATCGGAATGTGAAGGTATGCGTCTTGAAGATCGAGGGATATGATGAAATCCCCTTTCTTCAGAATTGAGCATAGAAGACTGACTGATACCATTCGAAAGTGAGGTGGCTGTTGAAGGAAACGAGCGTTGAATGTCTTCATATTGAAGATGAGACGCAACTTGCTGGAGTTTTTCTTTGGCACAAGAAAAATCAGGGAGTAAAACCCTGGAGTTATGCACACTGGATCGAGGCGTTCTACCGCATGTTTCTCCAGTAGAGTTGAGATTGTGGACGAAAGGACTGCAGCTTGATCCTGAGGATACATTCGCTGCAAAGGTTGAATGGTGAGGGGTGGTTCCCCGACAACAGGCATTCGATAGCCGTGAATGAGAGTCATTGTGACAAATGGATCTCCTAGAAACTCCCAGTTGGGAGCAAACAGACCTAACCTCCCGCCTACAGGGGAATCGAACACCGGAACCGCCGGAACCGGCAGAACCAATCCGAGCTCTGATTTCCGTGAGTCACTGTTTGGAATTTTTATTTCCAGTTCCAGCGTCGGGTCGAAAGGGGCGACGTGATGCGGAACCACGAAAAGGCTTCCTGCCCCTGCCTCGTGCTTGAGAAGGGGCCTTGCCTTTCATACAGTCACGAAGGTCTGGGTTGGAAGGGGTAAAGTGTGGGGTTCGACGATGCCGCATAGAGTCTTGAAGTTGAATTTTTTGCAACTCCAACAAATCTACAGATACTTGAAATTGGTTAAGACGGTCCACCTTGGATGCGACTTCTGCAATAGACCCACTGAACACCGTATCCCCCGACCATGGTTGACGAAACAAATCAGCCTTGAATCTATCTTCCCATGAGGATAAATTCAAAGGGCCCCGACGTCGTATGGCAAGTAGATAGCCAAAGAAATGAGACAGTTGCCCCAAGACCACCTGGAATTGGTCTAAAATCAGAGCCATACTTCCCCTAATGTCCGCGTCCTGGTCCGTATAGGCATGATTGACAGCTGCCGCCACAGCGTCAACAGCTGAAATGATGCAACTAATGGAAGGGATAGAATGCCGAACCGTAGTATCTAAGTGAGCCAATTCCCTGTCTTCCACAAAAAACGGCGAACTGGAACGCTTGCCACAGACCATGGAAATGTCATCATCAACTGAAGGTGCCGCTGACCAAAGTTGAACACCATGAGTATGTGCCGTCGATGGTCGGAACCTTGGAGCAGACAAACCATCCTTCGTCCTTCTAAGCTTATTGAAAGCCGCATCAAGAGAAGAAGGTAATTGTTGAAGACATGGACGCAAAGGAAGTGTGATACTGGAAATATCTCTATTAGTCACGGCATAAGACGTGGCCAAATCATCTGGAGATTTACTAAGAGGTAGCTGAAGTTTTTCAACTATCCAGGCTAGCACGTGAGCCGGTTCAACAACATCAAAACTGCCATCAGGAGTGGAGATGTCCGACTGCCCAGGTGAAGGTAAAGGAGTCTGAGACCGAGTCCGATCCCTCGAATCCACAGAACGATTATTGCTAGGTATGGCAGACGATTGTTGAACATGTGAGGACGAACGACACTGATTCCAAGCCCATGTAACGGCACGAAGCATGGTGTCTAAATCTGGCGCTGGAGTGGAATCAAGTGCAGGATTCCAAGCCTCAGCAATAACCTGTGACCGAGGCAAAGTAGAAGTGGTATGGCGGGAAGGTGAACGCTGATCCACTGAAGCATAACGCTGCCAAGCAGGTGAAACCACCCGCACAGAACGACGTTGATGAGGGGTACTATCATGTAAAGGCACTGACCGCAAGTGCTCACTAGCCCTAGACTGACTAGATGGGATATTCTGATTCACCTGAGGTGAATGAGACCGACTTCTAGAATCCCTATGACGAAAAGACACCATACGGATAGGTGAACCGGATCGAAAAGGCGAACCACTTCGACTAGGTGAGACTGAACGACTATGGTAATCAAATTGCTGTGGTGATTTGATTCGACTATGAGATGGTGAGTCGAACTGAAACACATGTTGAGGTGAATTGAGTCGGGAATATGAACCGGTTCGTCCTGGTGAACCCATTCGATTACGTGAATCAGTTCGGTCAGGTGAACCCATTCGAGTACGTGAAACAGTTCGGTCAGGTGAACCAATGCGATTACGTGAATCAGTTCTGTCAGGTGAACCAATCTTCACGATGAATCACGGTCAGGTGAATCAGTTCGAGTAACGGAATCAGGGTGAACCCATGCGATTACGTGAATCAGTTCGGTTAGGTGAACCCATTCGATTACGTGAATCAGTTCGGTCAGGTGAACCCATTCGATTACGGTCTGGTGAGCTCGGCAGGGTGAACCGGCTCGGCAGAGTGAGCCGGCTCGGGAATGTGAACCGGTTCGTCCTGGTGAACCCATTCGATCACGTGAATCAGTTAGGTCAGGTGAGCCGGTTCGGCTGAGTGAACTCGTTCGATCTTTGACTGCACGGTTAGGTGGTGAAACGAATCGCAGTGGTGAATCGGTTGGGACTGGTACATTGGAAGGACGACAAGAGCTCGAGCGTGAACGAGATCTAGAACGACTCCTCCCAGCAGTAGAAGAACGCATTCGAACCTTCGCACCAGATGGTGACTGAACTCGTGTGGGTGAATTGTTTCGGTGGGATGAAACCGTAGGAATAGGAGAACGGTTACGTTCCAACCGCGCCGATCCCCGCTTCGATGATGAATGCTTGGACTTAGAAGTTCTCGAAGTCTGTGAACGTTCCGAAGAAACGGATCTACGAGATAAGGTAGATCGCAGGTCTTGCGTAGAGGAAATATCAGTCATTACCACCCTGGCATGCCCATGAGAACTTAAACTAGGTGAGGGAAGCGCCCCAAAAAGCCTTTTAACGTTCTCAGACAAATAGGAATCTGACGAAGCGTCCATAAAATCCTCGTCAAGAGAGACGGGCGATTAAGAACGGTGAGCAGGGAGGGTGGGGCGATCTAAACATTGTTTCTTAGCGGGAGATGGACCAAACCCCGCAGAAGCATTCCTAGCCCTATCTGCCAAACGTCTGGCACAAACACGTTTGTAAGATTTAAAAGCCTCATTAGACAGTCCTGAACATTTAGGACAACGTGTGTCCCAATCACAACAACCCACACAATCAACACACGACGTGTGTGGGTCCCAAGCTGAAAAGACTTTATTACAACGGGCGCAAAACTTTCGTTTACTGGCCTGAACAGGCTTATCCATTTTGAGCAATTCTCAGATGAAAAAATTTTCACGTCCACTCTGTGGAGCGACAAGAAAGAGAATGAGTATGTGAGGTGATCACGTGGGTGAGGACCTCGCATGCTGTGCTGTCACGGACTAGTGAGCATGGCTGAGGCAGGAAGGCACGCACAGCACGGGGACAGGGACAAGGTAGGCCTGGAGCAAAGTTTTAATTCGTTTCCACTCATGGTCGAATGAAGAGAGAGAGGTGCAAGTCGTGAGATAGGATAAGTTTAAAAATAAGGTTTTGAAAAAAAACAGTTGCTATGTGGAAAAATTGAAAATATCCATGGTTAATTTTGCATAAAATAAGGTCTTATGAGGTCATGTTGTAGTGTGTGTCAGGCACGCCTCTTGCACTTGTTATTTGAAATGAATACCAGGATCTTAAAGATCATCCTCGATAATCTCCAGGGTAACGCTACGATAACCCTCCATTATACCCTGGATGCATCCACGGCTTGGGGCGATGATTTTATTACCTCCCTTGGCTGGCTCCGCATTCTCACAGTAGCTAATCAGCTAAGCCGCCGTTACAGCCGAGCTTGCCAGTGTCAACAAAGATAGCAGTCGCAGTCGCGAAAGTTTGTTCGCAGTGTCACACAGATTTTCTGGGAAATAATAAAGACAAATTCACAGATGTGAAACTTTAAAAACTATATGAAAGAACTCCTTCTACTTCTTTCAGAGTACCTCTGCATCAATTGTGTTGCCAAGTTTAAACGGTTAGATAATTTGAGTAGCGAAAGTGAGTTGTGATTAGTTCGCTCAACATCCCAGCGTAGGCACTTGATTGGATAAAAAGCCAGCCAAGGGAGGTAATAAAATCATCGTCCCCAAGCTGTGGATGCACCCAGGGTATAGTGGAGAGTGATCGTAACGTATACCCTGGAGATTATTGAGGATGCTTAAAGATATGGTGGGTATCAAATGCATAGATACCCACTTAAAATTGGAAATACCCACTTAGTTTAAAAAGTGTGGGTATCATACCCACATGGCCAAAGGCCTATCTGGAGCTCTGGTGTAGTACACAAAATTTGACTAATACATCTGTCTTAATATGATGTAAATATGATACACACGACAGCCATAGATGCATTAAATGCTTCTTTTTCTAGCTTTGATACTTCAGTTGTCAACAGCAATAGGCCCTATGTTAATTTTAAACAGGAGTCATCAAGAGACGATAAATCCCCCCATTTTCCACAAATCTGACCGAGGTAATCATCAAGTCCTACAAGAGTCAAATAGCAACTTCATGAGGGAATATGTATCCATCTGTCTATATATACAGGTTGGTCAGCTATTGAAACAAAGGAATAGGGATAATGTACTTGGATAAGGATAATCATAGATGGCTAATATTTTGCGAAGCTCCTGGTAACTGGAGAAATCATCTGAAAATCACTAAATATCAAAAGGCACCAGTTGACAACCTGATCAACATGTGTGTAGAGTTTTGTGAATGAAGACTTATTAGTTTTAGAGATACAATCTGGACAAAAAATTATTACAGACGGACAGACAGACAAGCTGGTTGCTATATCCCCCCATATTGTTATACAGGGGGATGATAAAGGAGAGAGGCAGTAGACTGCAGGACGACCTTACCTTGATTTTCTTGCCTCCTTCCCGACCAAGCGTCAGGTTGAGGCTTGTTATCATGTCATAGTTATCTTCCTTCGCCATCTTCTTGATCATATCCTCCGTGATGTAGCGGACACCAGCCTGAGATGCTGCAACAGAAGAAACATAACTTGTACAGTACCCCAACACTGAATCCTCTCTCTGTCTGTAGCTACATAGCTACATAGCTACATAGCTACATAGTGAGTGAGTGCGTGCGTGCGTCGCGTCGCGTCGCGTGGAGCGTCGCGTCGCGTATGCGTCGCGCGTCGTCGTCGCGTGGTTTTACGCTGCTTTTAGCAATATTCCAATGATATCAGGGCCGGGGACACCAGAAATGGGCTTCACACATTGTACCCATGTGGGGAATCGAACCCGGGTATTCGGCATGGCGAGCGAACACTTTAACCACTAGGCTACCCCACCACCCCTACGTAGTGAGTGAGTGAGCGGAGTTGAGTTTTACGCCGCACTCAGCAATATTCCAGCTATATATTATAATCGAGTGACAATCCAGTGATCCTCAACATGAGCATCAATCTATACATATGATTGGTATGTGTCAACCAAGTCAGCGAGCCTGACCACCTGATCCCGCTAGTCGCCTCAACAACAAGCATGGGTTACTGAAGATTCTAATTCTAACCTGGACCTTCACGGATCGTATTAACAAAGTAACTCCTACATCGATACCAACATCTGATACACAATGGTCCATACTTCAGGGATTTCGTTCCACAATACTATTCATCTGATACAGTATTATTTTTCATATGTCAAAGATTGTGATGTTCTTTTTTTCAAAGTGAATGACAACCCTGTGTCATATTTGATGGGATATTGTAGATGTGGCAGTCACTGGCAGGGCAGAAACATAAGGAATTTAAGATCCCCTACTAGTAATATACTAATATTATCTTGACAAGAGGAGTGACGATACAATAAGGCCTATTATCATGCAAGCATATTTTTCCGGCTACCTGATTGGTCTAAAGGCGGTCACGTGACCATTGACAGAAAAGCATATCGACTCCAACCCAGGTCCGACCAAAAGTCATATTGACCATATTATGACGTCATTCACGTCAAGCTATCACGTCAAGCTATGACGTCATTCTATTGTTTACATGTCACAGTATTGTTGACATAACGTTATTGGTTTGTAGTGAAAATATAATTACTTTTCTTGACTAAATGGACATGTTTTGGATTTTAGAAGCTTTTTTGGGGTAATTACTCTGACTTTGTCCTCGGTCAATATTGCTTTTCGCGGGTCCATAAAAACAGGTATTGACCGAATTCGCCAGTCTATAATTGTATAATATGATACATTTATAACTCGCCCATGGAAGATACTGCAGTGTAATATTTTTACGGTAATATGTAAAAATAATATTTTTACGGCAATATTACGCTAGTGTAATACCGCTAGACGTATGACGTCATAATGGTTTACGGTTATGACGTCACAATGCTAATACCTCTGTCACAATGGCATTAGGCCTTGCTTGACTTGCGGAAAGCTGAGAGTCATCACACTGCAGGCACTTTCTATCAATTTTTTTTGGAGAGTAATAAACAGAATATTAAACTCGCTTCCGTGAAATACCATTTTTATTAAACTTGTTAATGGTTGGTCAGTATCCTCTATATATTAGTAATATGGGCTACCAGGGTACAATGTGATACATTACTCTATTAAGTAAGTTCAAATCATCTCCCTTTCCGTAGGTAAATCACAACCCTGAACAAACTGAACATATTTAACTGAATTACAAGAAGTAAAATTGTCCAGGCTTATCAATAACACTGTATCCCATCACTGGTGAATGAATACTGATTACACATTTACCCTTTGTTAATTTCACCATGCATGTAAACATTAGGGGTGGGTATTGCAGTGAAGTTTCATATTGCGATATATTGCGATGCGAAAGCATATATTGTGATATGTATTGCAATATATTGCAAGATTTGTTTTTAAACAAAAAAACTACTTATACTCGAGTTGAAACAAGGAAAAGAACAATTTAACATCAACACAGTGGTTATTAGTTTGAACTAGTTTCTCCACTCTCAAAAAAAGACCTGAGATTTTAGAGAGAAACTTGACCTGGTCAGGCAGAGATCACTGGTCATTAATGAGTAAATATTTAAAACATTCAGATCCAAAACATTGCAAAACATTTGAACAAAAATTTAGAAGACAACTTCAAACCGAACTTAACTTGACTTCCGGTGTGAAAAACGGAAATATCCGAACATTTCCGAGTGTTACAAAGTTTTCCGAATGTATGTCGAAATACCGGTTTTCGATCAGCGTATCGCAATACGTATCGATTTCATGTCTGAACCGGTAAATACCGGTAAACCGGTTATATTGCGCAGCCCTAGTAACCATGGTTATAACAACAGAGGCTCTGTCCTGATGTTGAAGATAACCAAAACGTTTGCACAGAGTATTCGTAAGAATAAAAAAGTAAATTATGTGATTATCAGACTTGATGGATAAGCAGTTAAAAAAATATTTGAGTATATCTCATGTTGTCAGTAACATGACATGGAAGCATCTCGTAAACATGGCAAAGGACGCCTGGCAGGCAAACTTATTTAAAGTCTTTTATATGTTAAGATTAGAGATGTACGTACATTAGGTGAGCTAAACAGAAAGATGAATCTTTTATACTTTAAACAAATTAATGAGCACCTTAAAACACTGAAACAAAGACGCTGACCATAGTTATGTTTTGGGTTGTTTTTTTATTTGTGACAAGCTTACATACATTGAACATATGTTAAAGAACAAGCACAAAATGAGATCTTCTTATTTCTTGAAAGATCCTCAAAAACTGGGATATGAATTGTCACAACAACTTACTTGGTGTCCGAACTGGCGATAAGCCTTTCCTCTGATCACTGCCAGGAGAGACGGCCCTTCTGGCCGAGGTACCCTGACCTCCACCAACACTGAGGTTGACTTGACGGGGGATGTCTTCAGCTGACCGGGCAATGTTGCCCCTTCCCCTGGCTAGGTGCGATGTGGCCGTGGAAGGGCTGCCCTTGGATGCCTTTGGGACCGGCAGGTTGGACATACCTCGTCCTGTACTCCTCTTCATCGTGGAGGATGCTGGTGATACCTTTCTGTAACAATAAAAATATACTAGCGTTGGCTATCGCACACAACATGCAGATGGATAACCGATGTTCAATAATCAATCAATAATTGACTAATTGTAAACCCAGGGCTCGAATTAGTGCTTTGTTACTTGCACCGGTGCAACCCAATACTACAAAGTGCAACCTAGTTATTAGTCTAACTTGCACCAGGTGCAAGTCAAGTTTTGAGACTTCAGCTGGAAAACAGAATGATGAGGAACTGACTTGGAAGAGTGACTCTGATGACTGTATGAGCAGTGACTGAAGGATTTACTGTTCATGAAATTTAAAGATAACTAATCTTATCAGTCCCAAATTTCTTTTGTTACAATGTTCTAAACTATCATTACCAAAACTCAAGCATTATATTTTATACCAGATTTTATATTGAGCAGCAGGTGCAACCTGTTTTTATCTGATGCAACAAGGTTTCTACCTAAGGTTGCACTGGGTGCAAGTAGGTTTCATTTCTTTAAGTCGGGCCGTGAAACCCCACCACCAAACTCCCGTGGCCAATAACAGGACACATTCACGTTACAGTGCAAACAAAACCGGCTCTGACTAAAACTACAACTGAGACGATCAATGATACTTCCTGTTATGTTGTTTTCATTGTAACATTGTTACATCCAGTATATATACTTCCCCCTTCTTCATGTCCAATTATGCTTGACAACGGTACAAGAATCTGTATCGAAACGTCGCACTCACGAATAAAAAGAAGTTGTTATCCATAAAGTTAGTTCTATATGATACTTCCTGTTGTTACAAGAACACAAGTATGTTGTTTACATACTGGAAAACTGGAAACTGCATAAGTTGCATACACCTTGATGTAACAAACAAACCAAGAAAAATCATACTCTCACGTTTTATTTCATGTTTCATGTTTTTATGAATATCAATTTCTCTACCAAGCTCATAAAAAAATCACTCATGCAAGCGAGATCGATCGATAGACTGATTATTGAATCACTTGCACCAGCACTAAAAACTACTCCTAGCATCATGAACTGGTGGGTAAGCCTTGCTTAATGCGTCATTCGATACTATTAAGCCATGTCTGTTGTCGTCTTAAAGGCAGGCAAGATCCTGAGATGTAAAGATAAGAAGCCATGGATTCACCAGATGCTAAATTCCACATCCTGTACACTGACTGAGTATGGTTTTACGCCGCTTTTAGCAATATTCCAGCAATATCACGGCAGGGGACACCAGAAATGGGCTTCACACATTGTACCCATGTGGGGATTCGAACCCGGGTCTTCGGCGTGACGAGCCAACACTTTAACCACTAGGCTACCCCACCGCCCCCATCCTGTACAAACAACATTAGAAAATGACCACATGGAAAATAGGGATCCGTCAATACATCCATACATCGATACTTTTTATGAGATGATACAATTGTCGATACATTCAAAACTGTATTGATAGTTAGGAGACTGTACTGTGTTTGACGAATTGGGGACGGATACCAGTGGCTATATAGCCACAAATTTAGTTATATCGGCGACGCCTAAGAATTATCACCATTCTAATTCAACTCTTTCTACGCTGTTTTTTTCGTGAAAGAAATTCATTATTTAAACCAGGTCAAAGGTCCTCTAGGTCAAAGGTTAATCATATCACTCCTTGAACTTACACCATCGCCAGAAAAAGTAGTTCCCTTTTCATACATTTGTTACATACACACTGACTAAATCTGATAATGATGAATAAATTATAGTGTTATAGCAAAAATGGATGGAATTATCATTAAACCACCCTCTAGTTATCAGAAATGAGCGGGCCGCTGCAAAATATAATGGCCCGCTGATTCCATAACGACGGGCCATTAACAGGTCTGTTGTCAAATGCTCCATTATGACGTCATAAATCTTGTTCCATAATCTAACTGTGTTGGGTCAACAGCCCATTGCGGTTGTTTGAAGTAAACTTGCAATTAAGTTATGATACTGTTTTGACATTTTTAGCACAAATTCCATCCATTTTGCTAAAAAAGGGGAATGAATTGAAGACCTAGGCCTTCAGCAAATGATAATGTCCTGAAAACAGCATTACCCCTATAGTGTAGGGATACATTCAAAGGTTTTGGTGAATCAGTTTTCAAATTGCGACCGTATATGCTGATCATACGGTCGGAAATTTAAAGCACTGACCAGTCAGAACTCGTGTTACATCCTGAGTTGAATCGGTTTAAATATGTTTATGTATCATTTACATTTTGCAATTGTATCATGTTTTTTTGATGTTATGAGAGTTATAAATGATTATTTTTCATGCAGAAAGATGGGAAATTAGAACTTCCAAAATGTTGATCTCTTCATGGACAATTATAAAATATGAAATATTAATGTTCAAAATGTAACTAAATTTACACAGCAATGCTGCGAAAATAGGTATCGTAATAACTAATACATATCGAATTGTGAAACTTATGTATCGTGATATCCCTAATGGAAAATATAGAATACATCCACAGACATTTACAGGTCTGTTTAGAAATATATGCTTCTATTTTCAACATTTGTACCACCTAAACAAACTTTGATACTTAATCATTTACCATGTTTACACATACAATATATCCTCATGTTATCGGTTTTAGGATAAACCATTGCAAAACATGTCCCTAACTTCTTAATGACAACTCTCTCTTAAACATAAGAGTTTTACAACAGTGGGTTACACAGGTGACTTTGGCAATTAGGTGCCTGACTCTGAGGGTGTGGGTTCAAATCCCAGATGGGATTCAACCCAACAACAGTACCAGAATCTGTACTTTACTGAGAAAGTGTAATCCCAAGTATTACATATGTTACATCTCATTATTGCAAGAATAAACTCTGCCGTCAAAAATATATTTTCCAACATATGTCCAATGATTCCATTGTAAATAATGTCAGATGATTCAAAATCTTGAAGATTATATCAATTTTAACTCATTGCCTTTGAGCAAGAACCACACTAGATCTAGCCTCTATGATTATCCCGGTGTCAGTGGTTTTCATTATTTCAACGATGCAATAATATCATTTTAAGTTTCTAATTTACAAAACTTGAGTGATAGAGGATTTAACATCCAAAACTGTGTTCCACAGGAGATATCGCTTGTGTGAGATCAAACGATATCTCCTAGATATCATTTTGACAGTAGATTTTGTACAATGCCCTGACAATGCTATGACATCGCTGCACTGCAAGTGTAATGGCAGTACCGTGTTGAGAGATGTACATATTTCATTGAAAATTAATGAAAAGTGATTTTGGATGATAAATAGAATCTCACCCTCGTGTCTTCTGATATCAAATATATCAACACTCGTTGATAAAAGTTAAAATATCCTCGGCAAGCCTCAGATATTTGTAACTTTATCAACTCGTGTTGATATAATTGATATCAGAAGACACTTGGGTGAGATTCTATATATATGCATCTATTTCATGCAAAAATATCAAGTGTTTATTACAAAAATAGCATTGATGACATTGTACCAGCGAAACTGTTGCCACTCTCCACATCAAGGGATTTTTTGATGATGAGCCACACTTTTCGCCCTGCTCTAGTGACTACAAGGAAGTGTTGTGTTTCTATTTATATATTGTCTGTCACTAGCACACGACTGATCTTACTGAAGTTTCGCTTGCTATTTTTTATTATATAGGTAATTGATTTTGCACCAGAAGTGGTATTAAGGATCTCAGGCAAATCATATTGATGTTTGTTTGCTTTTTATATAACTTAACTTCCAGATTTCCATTGTCAATAACAATTCTAACAACAGTGCCTGGGTATCAGCCCTACCGATGAAACAGGCCCGATGAAACAGGCCCGATGAAACTGCTGTGCACTCTGATTCTGCACATACTTCCCCGATACTATTAGCGCGAGCAATGCAATCATCAAAATCTCAAGAACGTCAAATTCAGCTCGTTTTGGGAAATATATTTTGAGTATCCTGAACCCTAAAATTAAGTAACCAAAGTCACTGAACCCATTAAATCTACGTTGACAGACCATACATTAATTTCAAAAACATTCAAATGCACAATTGGCAGATCGTGACAGGTTCTTCTGTAGCAATCCTGGATAAAACAAGTGTACCCAGATTTCTTTCAGAAAGTAGAATTTAACAAAACAGGTTTAACAAGTTTCTCGACAGCGGAACCGATCACCTGTCAGGGTGAGAGCCACGCAGTACCACGTAAACTTTGACAACTTTGGAGACTGAACAGAAATGATAAAACTGATAAACGAATTCCTCAATTGACTATACGTAATCGCATAGTGGGTAATTTATCATCAGTGATTATGCATATGCAGTAAATCATGGTCTAAACATGACTCGAATTCTACGTAAAATTTCGTCTACTTTGTGAAGTTGGTTTGTTAAGTGTCCGAAGTTGTAATTTAAACTTTAAGCAAAGGAGGGGGTAATTTTTATCATCTTCATGCAAATACCTTCTTACCTATGAGTTCAAACTGCAACAATTTAATCCACCAGCCACAAAACACGAAAATATATCATTTTCGAGTATCGAACGACGCCATGTTGTTTACCCGCCAGTTTCTGCGAGTCTGTGACAACAACGGGATATAACGTTCAATAAACAAATATTCCTAATTGTTTTATGACACAACACAGGTATTCTGGAAACAGAAAAATATATATAAACATGAATCAAAAGTTCAACGTATTTAGTACGTGGACGATAATCTATTTCCACAAATTGTTTTCGAGACTTCTAGGAAGTGCGACGTAATCCGGATGTAAACACTGGCACATGCTTGAACACGACTTTGTTGACATTTGTGAAGGTGACAGTAGATGTAAACATAAATCTTGAACCGGCATTCGGTTCGTGTATCAATACCGATTCACTGAAGTGTAAACGCGATCAATACGTTGGTACACTTAACTGGAAACATTAAATTTGGACCCCCACTTGTGATGAAAAAATTGACCAAAATATTGCCATGTGAATTTGTACAAGTTCATGTGCATCTTACATATTAAACACTAACCAAGCTTGTACTACAAGCTTGGGTAGTGTTTGATATGTAAGATGCACATGTATGTGGGAAATATATGAAGAGTAGGTCGATTTATACAGCATTATATATATACTTTATTTTAACATATTCATTTTTAACAGATGAAAACGGCAAAACAATATTGTGGTGAGGGATGTGACACAAACTTAACACGTATCTTACAACGAAATTTTACTTGAAAAGTGTTGTTAAAATTTAAAAGCCATGTTTTCGTTATTCTAATAAATTTGAAACTAATACAATATCTCTTTAAATAACATAAATAAATATATATGTATATGTACCAAACGTTCCTGCTTTATATAATGAAATATGTGTACATTATAAACAGATGGTTAACTAGAGATATAAAAATATCTATAAACATTATAATGAAATGTTTAATGCAGACAATCTGACAATTTTGGAAGATTTTATCAAAGTTTTTTTTTTTTTTAAACACCAGGTTTAAAATTCTTATAATTATGTCATTGTGGCCCTATGTTTGCTGAGATTTGGTTGTCATCTTGCCCCCAGGCTGGACCATGTCTAGATTTCGCCTGGTGACCTTGGATGTCACCAACACCCTCCTCAAGATAACTGGAAGTCCAGGGCACCAGTATGCTGCAGTGGCCGGTATCTATGGGGTCAAGGCCAAAGTCAGCGACATCAATACATCGTTCAAGTACAGATATCGGCAATACAGTGAGAGGTATCCCAACTTTGGTACAGCAGTTGGAATGTCTTCTTACAAATGGTGGACTGATTTGGTGAAAGACTGTTTCAAGTCAGTAGCCGATGCCAATGTTAATTCTCAAGTGCTGCCAGCAACCAATCAAGATGAAACACTGACTCAGATAGCCAATCATCTGTATCTCCACTTCTCCACAGCAAAAGCATGGGAGATTCTACCAGGAGCAGAAGCTCTTCTCCAGAGTCTTAAAGCTGATGGAGTCATGATTGGTGCTATTTCAAACTTCGATGGACGATTGGAAAAAATATTGTCCTGTCTTGCACTGAGGCACTACTTTGATTTTGTCACTCCATCGGCAAAAGTTGGGTACGAGAAACCAGACAGACGTATCTTCGAACATGCTTTGGCGTTGTCAAAGATTCCTGCGTCTGAATCTGTACATATTGGTGACAGCTATGAGAAAGATTATTTAGGTGCTGTTAATGTTGGTATGACAGGTTATCTTGTACATAAAGGAAGTGAGCCTTTTAAGAATATAGATCCTAAGTTTGTTGTTCAAGAGTTGGGTGATCTACCTGAGTGCCTTCGCGTTCGTACTATGTCCACTGAATTGTGATGAGTTTTCTCAGGTTTTTTGTTGAAGTGTGGAGTGTAGATGTTGTGTTGTAGCATTGACCTTCACCTTTGGAGGTAGATTTAAAACAAAACTGGAAGGTAGACTCCAAGGAGTACAAAATATTATGCTCATATTTTCAGCCCAGATTCATATTTTTGTCCTAATGTTTAGTTTGATGGAAGGGGGACAAAAGAAAGAAAATTGCTATGATGTCTTGTATCTTTCTGTCCCAACTTCTGTATTTATAGTCACTCACGACTCGTATTAAAAATTCATGACTCTTGCAAAGGCAAAAGACATTTAACTGAAAAATAGACTTGAATAAAGATTATTACATGTGCATTTTAAATTCTTACATGGTGAGTAATGTTAAATGACAATGAATATTAAATGCATGAAGTAACGTAATGTTCAAACAATATACATTTAACATTAATCTGGTGCTTCTGTCTGTTATTTACTTAATAATTTGACATGGAAGACATTCTCAGCTAACATATCAGTTTATATACATTTGAGATACTGAAATATTTATATACTTATTTGTGAACGTTCATGTTTTATTCGTCTAAGTAGTCATAATGTTGATAATATTGATTTTGTTATTGTTCAATTCCAATAGAAAAGACGTGTTCAGATTCACTCCCAATTTGTCTACAAATACACTGTGTCCTCCCATTTGGCACAAACTTGGAAATAGTAACCTGTATTTGCTGCAGCAGCTCTGTGTTTCCAAGGGAATGCTACACATGAAACAGCAATGCAATTTCTTCCCTTTCTAGCTCTTAGAAGTACTTCTCACTTCTACAGCTGGAGGGGTGGTGGGGTAGCCTAGTGGTTAAAGCGTTCGCTCGTCATACCGAAGACCCGGGTTTGATTCCCCATATGGGTACAATGTGTGAAGCTCATTTCTGGTGACCCCCGCCGTGATATTGCTGGAATATTGCTAAAAGCTGCATAAAAACAAACTCACTCACTCACTCTACCGCTGGAAAGTTGCTGATGCGACATAAAGCAATATTTATTACTTCTTTTGTTCCTACCAGTGACACGTTTAGCATTTGTAACTTATGACTGTGTTCATGTGATAATCAGGGTAATATTCTAATATATGTTTTCTCATGTTAGTGGTTATTAAAAAGTTATACGTATTGTTTCTGTTTTTCCTACTTTCTTAATATTTTTGGAAGGAGATACATGAAGCAAGAAATATTTAAAATCTCTCATGTTTGTGTTGAAGCAGTGGCAGAGTGAAAAGTGTGCATGTCAGTTGTAGTCAGAGTTACCTGGTTACAGTCCGTTTGAGACAAAATGATACCGATGAATTGCAATCTAACACAAAAACAAAGCGACATAAAAGAATCAAACCAACGCGGACTGCAATAAAAACAACAGACCAACTCTAGAAACAAATTGCATTATTTTTGTCACAAAAATAAAAATGTTGTTTAAGAAAGTGTCATCATTTATTTGTGCGTTTTCCCAGTTTGTTACAAGGGCGCAGTGGCAACTAAAGGAACAGCGCGAAAAGCGAGATGCACGTGCATTAGTGACGTCAGAGACATGTGATTACTGCTGATTGACAAAGTGAGAGAAAATGAAAGTCTATGATTTACAAAGTCTATGATTTTTTCAAGGATGAAAATGACAGGGGGTGACCCAAGTATGCAATTACGAAGTACATACAGCGCACTGCTTGTGCACCTGGGGTCTGTGTCATCTCGCCAGCTCAAAAAATTGTTGAGAACCCGTTAACGCACGTGCATCTCGCTTTCCGCACTGTTCCTTTAGTTGCAAATGCGCCCCTGTAACAAACTGGGAAAACGCACAAATAAATGATGACAGTTTTTTTAACAACTTTTTATTTTTGTGACACAAATTATGCAATTTTTTTCTAGAGTTGGTCTGTTGTTTTTATTGCAGTCCACGTTGGTTTGATTCTTTATGTCGATTTGTTTTTGTGTTAGATTGCAATTCATCGGTATCATTTTGCCTCAAATGGACTGTAAGTGGTTCCTTGAGGTTCACTTCCAGAATAGGATCCCATAATCCTTTAAAATTAAAAATTAGATTTGTCTGACTACTCTATTTTGAACACTGTTAGCAATTATGCAACTGTTTCGTGAAATGTCAAGATTTGATAAAATATATCGATAAGTTGAGTAGCTTGCATATCAACAGACAAAGTTCTTGAAAAACACTTAGAAGTTGGATGAACATGAATACATTTCAAGTTTTATGAATATCTTCTTTTTTCTTTACTTAACGTTTCAGACCTAATTCTTGTTCCTTTATCTGGTGAATGCTGAGAATGCACAGAGGTAGTATACTCTTAAATAAAAGTAGGGGTACATGAACTTTCAGTTTGGATAGGAAGTATAAGTGTTAACAAACTTTTCAAAGACAGACATCTTATGTAGCACCACCATTTCTCTTTATAACCACCCCTAAACACAACGCATGGGATGCACGTGCACAACACAGTAGTCCCATACACGTGCATGGAGTTTCATTCTTGATTTCGACTGTCAATAAATCAAAGTAGACCATTAATTTTGACGATCATTTTGCATCACACAGTTGTTAGTGTTTGTTTCTAGCCGTTTTTCCTTTGTTTGAAAATGAAAATTGTACACATGCAAATTTCACGTCATAAACTACTCATCTTTCAAGAGTGATTACTGTACAAACAACACCATGGTGATGAGGAAGTGTGGTTAGGTCCAGTAAGTCTGACCTTTGGATGGGTGTGAAAACAAACTGGTCAGTTTGCAAGAGTATTTCGTTAAGGGACTGTTCATAATTTATGGCTGCGGAGGTGATGATGATTTTTATGGAGAAGCATGTATAATGTGAGTGCCCCCCCCTCTCAAAAAAAATAATTATGTACATAGTAAGTGACCCCTCCTGCATGTAATGTATAAAATCAATTACCCCCCTTCCCCTTCCCATGTTTATTAAGCATAATTTATTATTATTTTTATGTACAAATTGATGACCCCCACCCCCAGAACAAAATGAGTGACACACACACACACCCACCCCCTTAAAATCATCATCATAATGCATGCACGCACACATGCACGCACCCCTGAAGAAGGATCATGCTGTAAAATGTCATTTTTATTTGTGCATTCATTGGGGCAGTAATTTCTAAAACATGATGCATACACAAAAAGCAACTTTTAATTAGACATTCTTGATAAATTTATCATGTTGTGAATGTGTAGCTGTCTTTAAATAACAGGGTGGTTGGGTAGTCTAGTGGTTAAGGGAGGGCGGTGGGGTAGCCTAGTGGTTAAAGCATTGGCTCGTCACGCCGAAGACCCGGGTTCGATTCCCCACATGGGCACAATGTGTTAAGCCCATTTCTGGTGTCCCCCGCCGTGATATTGCTGGAATATTGCTAAAAGCGGCGTAAAACTAAACTCAGTCAGTCAGTCAGTCAGTCAGTGGTTAAGGAGTTCGCTCTTCATTCCAAAGACCCGGGTTCCATTCCCCACATGGGTACAATGTGTGAAGCCCATTTCTGGTGTCCCCCGCCGTAATATTGATGGAATATTGCTAAAAGTGGCGTTAAACTAAACTCACTCACTTTCAATAACATGCCATACAATACATAATCTAACATTATTTACATATTAAGTTTATAGCACTACAAATAACCATTTTCTTTTGAACATCATTGATCATTTTACTTAATTTAAATAACTATGTAATATCTTCCCAGAGATTCTCGCAATTTACCTAACTTAGTTCTATTGTATATGCCATGCCTTGCTGATATCTTAACATCACAACAGCTACTAAATTTTAAACTGAGTTTATTTGCCTTCAACGATTCTTTGTAAATTGTCACACATTATATACAGTCTCAATAGATTTCCATTATGTTTTGTACCCAGTGCATGTGTACCTCACTATCTATGTACATATAATTGTATTATTGTTAGGGAGCTGCATTGATATAAACATCTTTATGCGTCTTTGCCAGTCCTATTTTGATTACTGTTTAAACCATGCATTAAAATATCCATTGTATTAATATATATATTAAAGTGATCTTTATATTAGGCTATGAGCAATACACAATATATTCAACATTGATTTGCATTTACAATTTTATCTTTTTAAAAATAATCATTATTTTGGTACTGTCGAAAAGATTTACCTTGACTTCGTACTACCATGTACAGGTCCGTGGTTGTGGTCTCCAGGTATTTTAGAAATTATGTCGTTCTCTGTTGAGACTGTTGATCTGAAGTCTTTCTGAATTCATCTCCACAAGATCCACCATTCTCCCATTTTCCTTTGCTCACAATGAAAACATAACCAATTACACAAAGGTATCTTCCACCACGAGAAGCAGGAAGACACTTGTAGTCTAATTGTACATGTGACATAACTGAAGTTCTGGAAATGATGATGAAAACTGTGAGTTCTAGGGGCGTAGTTACCATTATAAATAAAAGCCCAGGCTTACACAGGATTTTTGCTTTGAAAGTTGGACAAGCTCTCAATACTATCTAAATATAAAGCTTTGCAACCCATCTGGCTTACACGAAAAAACATGGCTTGCTACGCGCCTGAGTTCCAATATTCTTAAAGCACGTTTATGTACGAAGTTGAATAAGTCACTACTAATAAATTGAATTAATGTTCATGTTATTTATCAAAGTCATGGAGTGAACTCTCTCACTAGCATGGATTCTTCGAATCCCCACATGGGCACAATGTGTGAAGCCCATTTCTGGTGTTCCCCGCCGTGATGTTGCTGGAATATTGCTAAAAGCGGCGTAAAACCAAACTCAGTCAGTCAACATGGATTCACTCACATTCTGGTACACGCGTTTCATTTTTCGTTTCCAGAGTGGACACATTTAACATTTTGTAGAAAACCAGTGTCTTAATCACTTGAAACAACACTGTTGTCACAACATCTAATGTCAAAGGTTTTTACTTCAACCCAAAGGTCTAACTTACAGGATACCCGGAAGTGCAAGTGGTGATGCACTCTCAAAGCATTCAACGTTATCATAACATTGATTGACTCCGATATATCTCCCAATTGTTTCAATCGTAAATTGAAAATGAAGTACCCCTACTGTTTTTTAAGCGTATATACGGTAAAAATAATGTTAACACAAGACAAGGTGGGAGAATGTATAATGATAACAATTTAATTACAAAACTGGGGGGTGGGACTTTAATGTACTGGGATAAAACTGCAGAGATGAAGATGATGACAGTAGCCTTTATACAAAGTAAGACGAAACCATTGATTATAGCATAATGGAGTATACACTGGGAAGGCAGATGCCTTGGTCTCAGTTAATGGTGGGTTATATTAGTACATGTATTGAACAGAATATTATGGCCATGCACTTTTCTTTAAGTATCAAATGTTTGAGTGTCTTGTTAAAGGGCCACTGTCTTTATATCAAAGAGTGGTTGGGATTATATTTTACCAAAGTGATAGTTGTTTATTTATCAAGATTAGAAATGCATATATTGTGTAACTTAATCATATTTATTAATGTGGTTAAAGTTGAAATGATAAATGATCTTGATACTGAATGTGAGGTTATATTTGTTTCGTTGATGCTGGTACATGGCCAGTATGAAATAAGTTTATATTGAATTTACCAGTGTTTTACTGGCATTGTTTTCTTTTAGTTTCAAATTTTATATTGTCGACAGATCTGTGCACCAGTATTATTAGAACGTATGTCTTCAGTATTTATCGTTAAAAGCACTGCCGGAATAGCAGGTTAACTGTAAAAGATATGAAAGAATCGGGTTATCCTTGCGTTTTGAGTGATACGTTATCTCTTATCATTCATGTCACCCTCACTTGTCCAGGCTGTGCTGTCATCTTGTGTAGAGTTGTGTCCCTTGGGTACAACAGGACACTGTGATCTTACGATCAAATCCTGGTTTGCCTAAGTGTATGGCCTGAAGACTGTTTTGAATTACATTTTAGGTCAGAAATATCTTTTCCTTATTGTTCAGACAACTAAGGAAGGTATCTTTTCTGGTAGGCGTTCTTTTTTTTCAAATGTTGCACAAAAACAGAGTCATACACTCATGATGTTGCCATATTTTAGTTAAGTTGAGATTGTGGGTCTCTTTGTATTGACTCCAAATTGACTCCAAATGAAATTATTGTAGTGACTTAGTCTCTGGTATTTTCAAAATAGAACAGAGATATGAGTCTCATGATTACTGAGGATGTGTTTAGGTGAGGAATGGGAACATGGTATTCATTTTCTCTGCTTGTAATTAATCTCAGCTGAAGTTGTGCAATATTTTGTAGTGTTTTTTGTATGACATTTGTCTTGTATATTGTGAAAATATTTACTGTAATGCTGGTATATGTTATAGTAATATCATATTGTTTGCTTTTCTTAGTATGTTTTAAGAGCTGGAGGGACAGTGGGGTAGCCTAGTGGTTAAAGCGTTTGCTCGTCACGCCGAAGGTCAGGGTTCGATTCCCCACATGGGTACAATGTGTGAAGCCCATTTCTGGTGCCCCCCCCTGTGATATTGCTGGAATATTGCTAAAAGTAACATAAAACTAAAACTCTCTCATCTAACAGGTGGCCATGTTGATGCTATTTACCTGATGAGTTGCTTCCCTTGGTTTTGCCAGGATCAGGTGTATCGGTTGCCCCTAGTATGACAACAGTTTACCCACAGTCATACCAGTTTAGAGACACACATGAAATAGTGTTTAATCTGTAAAATTATGTAAGCTCTCAACTTGGGTCACTGCAAACACATAATGAGTTCATATTGATACGACCCGTGAAGATCCGGGTTAGAATATTGGCCTTCAGTAACCCATGCTTGTCGTAAGAGGTGACTAACGGGATCGGGTGGTCAGACTCGCTGACTTGGTTGACACATGTCATCGGTTCCCAATTGCGCAGATCGATGCTCATGCTGTTGATCACTGGATTGTCTGGTCCAGACTCGATTATTTACAGACTGCCGCCATATAACTAGAAAATTGCTGAGTGCGGCATAAAACTCAACTCACTCACTCACTCATATTGATACATATCATGAATATTTACAATAAGAAGTCTCCAGTTTATGTATTATTTATTATATTCAGTTTAGCAAAAACAAAATAAATTCTTTAAAATGTTTTGACCAATTTGACAGTGTTAATTTTTAAGGCAATGACCACTGACCACATTTCTGGCAAATTAAATATATGTGTGTTGAATATTATCAGCCTGACTTGATTATTCCAATTTACCTATTTTGCTTTGCTGAATACCCAAATTCAATTTAATGTTTTATGTACTTATGCCTGAGATGTTCGTAAGCTCCATGAATACACAAATAATGCATTATGGTGCAATTCATTTCTTGATATGGCCAAATATGCTCCGGAAAATCAATATTGATTATGTTCACCTAACATGTGTCTTGCATATTTGAATTTCTGACTGTATGGTATACATAGGGGGCCGAACCATCTGTGACGCCACAAAACACTGTACAGAGTAGCTCCCCTTAGTAGTGGTAGGATCCTGTTATCATGGGTTCAGATACCAATATGCTCTGATTATGACTTGACTTGTGTCTAGTTTGTGTCAGCAGCTAATCATGACTTTTGATTCTCAAAAGCGGAAGAGGTCTAAAACTTGTGTCACTCCCAGTTTCTACCTCAAGCTGACATGGTGTGAAACCTGTAAAATTAAAACTTGCGTCACTCCCAGTTTGTACCTCAAGCTGACTTGGTGTGAAACCAGTAAAATTATAAATTTGTGTCTATGCTTGAGACTCACTTGAGGCTTTTGTTCAGCATCAAGTTCTCAGGTTATTACACAACTGAAATTATGTTCAAATGTGCAACCCACCTCCCTCATTTAATTAAGTGAAGAGTTATTGGCCTTGCATTGAGCAGGATAATGTTGGTTATAGTGTACTGAAGGAATATAAAAGATGGGCCTGCCTTGGTGTTTGTACTGTTGATCATGTTCCAAATAGAAATAGCATAATATATTCATGTTCTCATGTGTATATAGTTTGTTATCTTTTAGACAATGTGTTCTGGTATATTCAAGCTATTAAAGTATATTTAGAAGTTACATATGATGTGTCTTTGTATTGTTCATGAAACCCGCCACTCACATCTTCCCAGGAAAGGAGTTTGACATACATTGTACTTGCAGAACTGGACTAAAATTTATGTGTTCTGTTTTAACTGGGCTAATAATTCTGTGCATACTCCAGTAGAACATTGTGTAACTAAATCTTGGTTGATAACCAGGCAGCCATGTAATAATCGGTTGAAGATCTGTGTTAGAGTTGGTCTCCAGCAATCCATGCTTGCCACAAAAGGCGACTATGCTTGTCGTAAGAGGCGACTAACGGGATCGGGTGGTCAGGCTCGCTGACTTGGTTGACACATGTCATCGGTTCCCAATTGCGCAGATCGATGCTCATGCTGTTGATCACTGGATTGTCTGGTCCAGACTCGATCATTTACAGACCGCCGCCATATAGCTGGAATATTGCTGAGTGCGGCGTAATACTTAACTCACTCACTCACTATGCTTGTGGTATAACGAGGTCGGTTGGTATAACGGGATCGGGTGGTCAGACATGGTCAAGGTGTCAACCAAGTTGTGTAGATCGATGATCATGTTGTCAACCACTGGGGATATGATTGATGCACACACACACACACACACACACACACACACACACACACACACACACACACACACACACACACACACACCTCCCTTTCTCAATAAGCTGTATCCGCCCCTGTAACCACAGTTGTGGATGATGATTAAGTAGCAAGTGACCCGTGAAGATCCCGGTTTGAATTGATCTTCAGCAACCCATGCTCGTCGTAAAAGGCAACTAACGGGATCGGGTGGTCAGGCTCGCTGACTTGGTTGACATAAATATCATCGTATCCCAATTGCGTAGATCGATGCTCATGCTGTTGATCACTGGATTGTCTGGCCCAGACTCGATTATTAAGAGATGGCCTCCATGTATAGACCATCCGCGGATACAGCGGATACTTTTGAGAAAGGGGTAGGGGTGCACACTTCATTTTCAACCGTTTTCAGTGGTCATTTAATAAACTTTTAGGACGAAAAGGGGGGTGCGCACCCCTGCAGCCCCCTCTAGATCCCCCTATGTAGACTGAATATTGCGTTGAGTGCGGCGTTAAACAACAAACACACTTTAAAACACGCGTAGAAGCTCTATGCTTTCAACAAACACACAAACATCGAAATTGTGCCCAGTGCATTAGCATCCACGTTCATTGTGAATAACGATGTTTTCTTGAATACCTATTGAAAGATTATTATTTAAATTTATCATAAGCTAAATTTTCAGTGAACTATATACAAACACAGTTTCATTTTTTTCATTAATGTATATCTTCATATAAAACTAATTGATTTGGATATTGACTTTCTATTTTCATTATTTGGCGGTGTTTTAGAGTAGTTAAACAAAGAAAACTGATTTAGTCTCGGTCATTAAATATTTATTTTCAGTTTCATTAAGATCATATGTTTCCTTTCACTACGGCTAAACAAAGATGAGTGGACTTCCGATGGCAAGTGACGTCAAAAGCTTTCTGGAGATTTGACGTCACTCCAATATCTTACCACCAATGTTCAAAATACATTGATAAGCCACATCAGCCCCAGAGGGTTTGATAGGAGCGTGATTATACCGCCATCTTACCGCCTCGGAGTTTCCAGAGTGTAATGATCATTACAATACAATGCTAGCCTTGTTGTAACTTGAGATGTAATGTGAGTTGAGAAGCAATAGCCCCCGGTAGTATACATAATGGGGATACGGGCTCAACCCCCATTAATAAACCATTTGGTATGCTATTAGCCTATAGCCATATGTGCCTTTCTTGCACTTTGCATCTCAAACAAACAGATTAACTATATCTGATTTTATGTAACACTGGCATACAACCTTGAAGTTTACTTTCTTCGACAAACATTGTGCCATTCTTGAACCGGGTTCTACCAGCCGGAGATAGAGTATATCTGATTTTATACAGCAGTTTTATTTAATATTGTATATCTGTACAGCCATAGAATTACTTCATTACACTTTCAATGTCCATCTCCTTGAACTTTGTTATGAAGCCTGTACAACAAGCTGATGACTGTCTATACCCATGTGATTGTACCTATTATGCTGGAATTAAAACAAAACAAAACAAAAAATAAACAAGCCCTTATATAGATAACAAAAAGATACGAGAAAATTATCCACGAAGGCAGATGATGCTGAATTCAGCTCCTTTAGCCCTTTCCAGATCATTCTATAATATTCTGTGGATCAGAACACGCCGGAAGCTTCTAGAACTCTGTCTAAATATATAGGAAGTCCAACTATACTTCCAATCAGAAGTTAATACTCAGTTAAAGCACTCGCTATATGTTATGTGCATATATATGGTTACATCGAAAAATAATTTCTCCACTAACTTGGGGGAACCAAATGCAAACCTTATGTAGATGAATTGCTGAAAGGCATATGCAAATATCGTGCATGTGAACAGCTGCGTTTTCGTGTAAAGTTTTGTTAAGAATTTGCCAATTTTCACTGAGTCTCATCATGAACTCATGACAACTATCTTTTCAACGTTACGAATTTGTTTTACACTACATCCCGTCATTTGTAAACTGCCTTTAAACAGTATTGAATATTTGCAAAATCTAGTTTAGAACAGTTGACTGAAGTACGTGGCTACATTTACACTAATGAGTCTAAACTTTTGATGGGTAGTATATATATAGCACAAGATTGCCCTTTACTGAATCCACAGGTACAATGTAACAGATGAAACAGGGTTAACACTGCCTCATAATAGCATTCACAATACATCAACATCATCATCATCATCATCGCTGTAGGTACATATGCACGCTAATTAAGATTGTTTGCAGTGAAAACGTACCGATGAATTCACTTTAAACAAAAATGTAAATCGAATACAGTGAAATTAAGATTGCGAATCCTCATTAAATCTTAGATTTTTATTTAACTTAGGAAGAAAGTTGTTTAACAAACGATCACTGTTTCAAATCGCTTATATTGGTTTGTATTACAAGGGTGTAAGCGCAGTAGTTGGAACAGTGAAACAAATGCACGTGATGAGCGTTAACTTAGACCAACCCTCCTTGTTCTCGGTGTTTCATTTAATGTGAATACCCCCCTTGTAATACAAACCAATAATATCGATTTGAAACTATGATCATTTGTTAAACAACTTTTATCCTAAATTGAATAAAAATCTGAGATTTAAATTTTGAAATGGTAAAATTATGAGGATTCGCAATCTTAATTTCTCTTTATTTGATTTACATTTTTGTTTAAAGTGAAATTCATCGGTACGTTTTCACCGCAAAAGACTATAGAGACTTAAAATGCGGCATTCAACTAGGGCTGGAACAGGATACCCGGGACGGGTGGGTAATGAGTTGGCCCCGGGTACCCATCTCAATACCCGGACCCATTATGATCATGTGACTAATAGATTAAACAATGTAATATGTTATTCTTACATGATCAAAAGGTTGTATTGTCTTTGAAGATTTAGACATAATTCACAGTTACTTCTTTTGAATATAACACATGGTTAAGGTATTGCAAAACTCGAAATTTTAGCCTCCAAATACATTGCCATTTCTTGCAAATTTGATGTCAGGTATCCGGGTAGGGTAATAGGGATGGGGTACTCGGGTAGAAAATTTGGACTCGTCCCAGCTCTACTTTCAACATTTGTCGGGTATACATCGCGTAGGAAGTGTCCGCTTTGAGTGGTAGGTCGATGTTGTTGATTCTGAAATCAGCTTCTTGTAGCCCCTTCCAGATCATTCTGTAATACTCTGTGGGTCAGAACAAGTGGAAGCCTCTTGAACTCTGTCTCAATATAGCACACCACGGCCTCTTGCTGATTCAACAGGTACAATGTGTAACATCGCACTCCTGTCAAAACCGTGTATCTGACTTTAAAAATGTTTTGAGATAATCGAGAAAAAGTTTCATTTTTTATGTGCAAACTTAACACAATGAGTTTTCAACCATAACTTTGCATCATTATTTGCAGTGAAACCAAACATGTTTGGCATCTTAATTCCAAGGGGGTTAGTCCTGGATGAAAAATATGAGGTTTTGCACCAAGTCTATTGTTAAATAGAATGTTTTGAAAAACAGGTAATTTCACTTAGATGTATTCAAATAACAATTTAACAGGAAGAAGAGATGGTCTGGTGTGTGTTCGACTAGCCAGAATCATTATTGCATTATCAAATACAATGTTTAAACAAGAAAAAAAGATCATTTTATGGCCCAAGGCCGATTTGCATGACATGTTCTATCGGTGTAAGAAAATACTAAATGGACCACTTATTCATGACTGCTGTACCGTGATTAGTTGTGGGCCCTATTCATAAATCCATCTCATTTACAGTATCGTCTCTAAAGACGTCTCACACAACGGGGCCCTGTACCAGATACTGACCATACAGTCAAACTCCTTAAAATGAGCAAACATTGTTACAAAACCGTTGTAACATAAATATGAAGAATGGAACGAACTGTAACACATGTTCTGTATCACCTCTGGGCACTATCTCAGCAAACTATTGGGCACAACCCTGTACGTGTATGTAGACACCTTCCCCAAAGTCTGTTGACTGATAGAACAAATAGGAATGAACTGTTAGGACATATGGTCCAGTCACCATATTTCAACAGTGATAAGC